CTTAAGTGTGATTAAGAAATTAGTAAAGCTTTGGTGTATCTTTGAAGCATTTAATAAAATATGTTGACTTAACATATTGGTAGTAGAAGAGAATGCAGTAGATGACATGTGCTTGTAGCATAGTTTCTTGGATGATGTTGTCTACCTTGCCTTTCAACATATTCATTGCATTCATCTCCTTCGATGCACCGATTGCATAGGCACTTACACGCATTGCATCATACAGGATCGCAAACCGAGAACCCAATCGTCATACCCGAGGAGCCCGAGGAGCGAGTTCGAGGTGCAAACAGCAGAAGTGCCGTGGCCGACGAGGAGGACGTTGAAGAACTTCCTGAGTGCCCCGATCACCGTCCCCGAGCTCCTTCGAGAGAGGCAAGCCCCGAGCATCTTTCTCCCGGTTTGCAATGATTTCGTTAAATGCTTTACTTTAAATTGATGCATTACGTTCAGGAGTTGTTTGCAACCGTTCTTTGCATTATACCTTGTTTACCTTTGTTATACTATATCCTTGTTACCCTGTATCCGCAATGAAGTCAATGCTTAACCGGCTTAGACCGGTAGAAGTCGGGTGATTTCACACCGCGAGCTATAGGTGGTTACCGATCTGTTTGGATGGCTATGAAGTCATGGTATAACTAAGTGTTAAATGAAGTTGAGACCGGGCGGAGACTTGCGGGGTTTTGGACCGTAGTGTTTCCGTCTCGTATGTCGATTAAGGACCGACCGTTGTTGGGCCTCGAGTCATGTTGAACGATGCCCTTACATTTAGTCGGGCCGGATAAAGTACCTTCCGACCGCGAAGCCGGGAGATTTTTCGGGCGAGTAGATTGCCCATGACCAAGACTTGTGTCAAGCAGTGTGGTAGGACACACGGGCGGGATGATAAGACCAAAGTGCGGTCGGTCGGCCCCGGTACATGTGGTTCTGGCAAACTCGAGATACCGGAAAGTTGACTCGGTGATCAATATCTCACTTTAGCGGGTGAGTGAGATTTGTGTAAGGAATAAATCACCACCGGTGGTTAGGAATCGATTCAATCGCCATCGCTCTCCCGGATAGTGAGCACTTGACTTGAGTTACTTCATCGTAGTAAATGTTTATGGAACACTTGGACAGTTATAGTGAATATGACAAGATGGAAGTTGTTTAATGATCAGTGGTTATCATTAATTGCTTAATCACATGTTTACTCTAGTATAGGTGAAAATCTAGTCGACGTGTTAATAATAATTAACTTGACAATACTTGCTTTTAGAAAGGTTCTTGAAATGCTAAAAATGCTTCTTTTGCAAATGAGTCACTACCCTACTATAATGCCCGCATAATCCTTGGTGTCATTTATTTTCGGTTATGTCGGGTAAAGTCCAATGAGTACCTTCTCGTACTCGTGGTTTTATTCCCACTTGTTGCGAGATGGGCGGATGTATTACGGCTATTGTATCAACCGCCTCTATCCTGCGATGGGTGATGCTTAGGACCATGGGCATGGTCATTCCTTACGTCTCATCTAATGCTTTTGTTGGAGATGATCATTCGCTGGCACTATATTTGAACTCCGTGTGAGTGTGTGTGTGGTTTTAAACAAATGACTTCCGCTACTTTTATTCGAACTGGTTTGTAATAACTATGTTTAAACTCTGATGTATCTGAGGTTGGGAACTTTTATGTAATATGTGATTGGTGACCGCTAAACTTATTACGATCATGGCTGGGACACGAGTTGGTTTGAAATCCTTCGTGATTTCACGGACTACCGGGTTATACGGGCTTAAGTTTGCTCAATCGTCTGCTCTGGTGGATGATTTTCTTACTTAATTTCGTATAATTGGTCGGTTCTGTTACACATGCATCAGTGCAGATAGCAAGCTTTTCCATGGGTCATATGGATTTTCTAAGTTGTTTCATAAACCAAACCCAGTTATCCTTTGTCTCAAAGTCAAAAAAACCAAAGGCCATAGGAAACATCTAGTTGTGGCCATCTAATGCTAATGCTGCAGGCATGTGGCCATTCCACATGCCATTCAGAGCTGTCGAGTCTACACTGATATAAGGCCTGCAACCATTCACAAATCCATCTATACTAGCTTTGAATGCACAGAAAAATCTGCTAAACCTAACTTTACCATCCTCATCAGTGATAGTGTCTATCTCCACCACAGTACCAGGTGATCTCAATTATATCTCTGCCTTGAATCTATACAACCAATCAAAAGAATCACTCCACTTACCAAATAGCTTGTCTGATGCTCTCTTTGTCCCATTGTACACTGTCTGGTAGGGGATTTCAATGCCATATTTGTACTTCAACTCATTTTTTACTTCTGTAGCCCCCATTGATGGCTTATTCTTTAGCAATGGAATTGCTCTCTCTGCCACCTAGCTTATAGATGCCATCTTGTTCACAACCCTTTTTGTAGATGGACATGTATGGACTCCCTTATTGATTTGTATCTGCATTTTGCAAACAGAACAAAACATCAGAACAAAGGCAGTAAACACAAACAAAGGAGTAAAATGTAGAAAGTAACAGTTATAAAACAAAAAACAATAGGTTCATAAACAATTCAGAATTTATACCTTGACACTGTCATCATGCTGGGTTCTAGCTCTAATAAACCATGGACAGCCCAGAGCAGCACATTTACCCCTGAACCTTTCTTTGTCTGAATGCTCAGTATCAAGCTCAAACTCCTTCCTTATAGCATGCTGCCTGACAGCTAGCCTAAACTCATCCATGCTGGGATAGCATGTGCCAACACTCATATCTGGATTGTCCCTATCCCATTCATACATTGTCTCTGCATCAATTATGTCATCAACATTGACAGCTGCTTCATTTATATCTGCTTGTATCTCTGCTGTGATAACTGGAATGGGAACCTCTTTTCTGTTAGCTTCTTGTGCCTCTACTTCCTTGAATCCCATTGCCTCATATACCTGTTCCTCATGAACAAGCTGTGTAGCTAAGCCATCATCATCAGGATTCTCTGGTATGGTTAGTGTATTCCAATCAACTGCTATAGGCTGTTCAGTAGGGAGTGGGGGTGCTGGTGGGGATCTGCAAGTATCACCACACCCCTTAGCATCATCAGGCACATGACTTGGTCCAACATGAGACCCATTGGTGACACTAGAGACACATCTTGCTGCAGAACTACCTTTGTCTGTACACCCACCTTTGCTCACATCTACTGCAATGAAAGCCATTCTCTCATCCCATCTGTCCTTAACCATCTGCTGCAAATGCTCATCCCTCCTAATCTTCCACTCAGACCCAGTATCTTGGTCAAGAACCCACACTGAAAGTGTTTGAGATAGCCCCCATATAATCCTAGTGGCTAAATCCTCATGAAACAAAGCCAGGGTATACTCACTGTTCCTGTCAAACCATAAGTCGTGTTGCTGCTTTGCCATCTCAACTAGGCCATACTCATCATTAGCAACATATTTAGCGACTTTAATAACTAGTCTAAATGCAGAGCCAGGATCGATCCTGGCATAATCAACCACAATGAACGAAATACAGAGTCAGAGAGTATCCAACCCACTACACAGCTTAAGTTGGAAACACTTACCAAGGCGGGCAGTCACTGCTTGCCACTGTGACCTCGATTGATTGACGCCACCTACTACATCAGAATCCTACGAAGCAAAAAACGGATGGAGATAAAGTGAGCAACTATTAGTGGCGGAGCCAGAACCAAAATATGGGGGATGAAAAGCAGCAGCCAGCTCAGACTTGTTCAGAGCTTATGGCGAGGCAGTGATAGCAGCCATCAGCATATGATTTTTTATCTGTATGTATGTTGATAGATGCTAACTTGCATTTTTTTTCTGATAGCTCATGAATGGGGGGAAAATGTAAAAAAAAATCAGACATGTATTCCTAATGATACATAGTATTTTCTGTAATTTACGTACATTTTTTAGCTAACGTACGGATCACTAGAAAAATTTGTGAAGTAAATTAAAAAAATGAACACGGGCGTACACAACCAATCACTAGCTTCTCGTTTCTAGCTTCTCGTTTCTATGTGGGCAGCGGCCACAAACAGGATTGCAGGCTTGCGGCCGCCGCGTTAAAGGACGCACTCACGTACGCGACTGAATACGGCCGCCCCAGAAGCCCACGAACGAGGACGCGGCGCTTGCGGACGCAGGACGGGCTGCCCGCCATGCGTACACCCATGAACCCTAACCCTAAATGTCGTGGAATGTGGGTGTAAAGGGGGCGGCAGGGGCCACGTACCTTCGATCCGTCGCGAGCAGCAGCTGGCGACCATGGCTCAGGGACAGCCGGAAGGGAGCAGGCGTGGCGGTGGCGGGCGAGCTAGAGAAGAAGGGGACCGAGAAGAAGCAGGCGGCGACGGTGTTCACGGGGGAAGAAGAGAATGCGTCGGGCGTCGGCGTTGCCCGCACGAGAAAATGGGCGAGCGAGCGACTGGCCCGGCCCGTTTTCCCTTCTTCCAAATAGCCAGGGGCAGGCAGGTCATTTTGCTGCGCCCTGCTGACTATGCGCCACCGTGTCATGTCGCCGTGGCGTGCCAGACGAGCAAATGTGACAAAACAAAGTTGCATGATTTTTAAAGATGATAAATCTATAAGAACTATCGTAAGGATGAGAAATGGACGAGCGACGATCTTAATGGTAAATATGTAAAATTCCCGGTGAAAGAAAGCTTCGGTACCGAGGCATGAGCGGGACTGCAGGAGGTAGCAGGGAGCGGCCTCCGCACGGCCGGGCCGGCTCACGCGCACTCGCCCAGACCCGATCTCCTCCGTCCATCGAACCCTTTGCACGAACCCCGACGCGCATCACAACGACCCACCCAGTCACCCACTCCCCGGCCCGCCGCCCCGTCTTCCCCTGCCCGGCTGCCCTTATTATTTCCTCTCCGCCGTCTCCGTCCCCGGGTCAAATCGAATCGAGCCCATCCATCTCCATTTCCGCCGCCGCCCGCCGCCGAGAGAGATCCCGATCCCGCCCATCCACCACCATGTGGCGCCGCCTCCACACCCTAGCCCCCGCCTTGCGCAGGGCTACCGCCGCCGCCGCTTCCGGGGCCCCCGCGGCGCCCGCCTCCTCTGCTGCCCGCGCCGCGCCGCTCTCCTCGGCGGCCGCCGCCTTCCGCCGCACCAGCCCGCTCCTCTCAGGTAAGGATCTCGTATCCCCGGATCTCGGTTCCCTGGCGGCGTCGGGCGCTGATCGAGTGGCGGTGGCCGCGTGGGAGTGGATGTGCTGCAGGGGACAAGCCGGCGAAGGTGGAGGACGTCATGCCCATCGCCACGGGGCTCGAGCGGGAGGAGCTGGAGGCCGAGCTCGAGGTGAGATGGTCCGGTCCTCGTTCGAGAGTGAGGAGCTGGAATGCACGTCCGATTTGGGTCTGGGAAATGGCTTCTGATTCCTCGATCTGGCCTGGGTTTTGCAGGGGAAGAAGCGGTTTGACATGGATCCCCCGGTCGGCCCCTTCGGTACCAAGGTTAGTTGGCCCTCGTAGATTTGACCGTCGTTTCTGACGTTCCTGGATCGGATTATACACCGAGGCATTCTATGTTTATTATGATAATTAGGGTTCTTAATTTGTTGGTATTGTAATGAAATGTCTGGGATGTATAGTTCTGAGAATAATTGATAATATATGGGTTATTGGGTAAACTACTCGCAAGTGGCCAGATTCGCATTGTGCTGCAAACTATTTGCATTGTTATTAGGGAAAATGCACTATGTCGGGACGTCTTGGTGCTTCATCTATCAGTATCCATGCTTAGTTGTCTTACTACTATGCTCGGATAATTAACATCAATCCTGTTTATCATACATTGTTCTGAAAATTTGGCATCATGTGTCTGGCTGGTGTTTTTTAAATCTTTTTCATCTTATCTCTACTAGGCCATGTTTTCTGCTGAATGTTGTTACTACGGTTTCGTGCAATTATTCAAACCATTCACATTTCCGTAGCTAATTTTATGACTAGAGCTGTGAGGCTTTGAGCCTGCTTGGCTGCTTCTCAGCAAGTTGCTGTCCACATGCTAGACATACTTTCGCCGTTTTAAAACTGGCATGCATTAGACACCATATTTTTATTGTTGCAGCCTGCCTAATATCTATTGGGCTAACAATACAGTTCAATTTCGAAAGTACACACAATATCTGTGTTTATAATTGTACCAACTGAAATTATTGATCTATATTCATACATGTGTTCCTTTTCTATTTCAACGTACTTTTGGAATAGCCATTGTGCTATGCTCTTTTGCCTACTCATGCTGAGATGCTGATGTGAAAGGCGATGATGACACATTAATAAAATTGTGAGATGCACGCCAACACATAAAACCAATTTTCCATTTATGGTTAACAAAAATGGTTTTTGAATGGCAGATGTCTATCTTGGCAGTGTTCTCGTTATTCTACTTGGTTCTAGAGAGCCGTTAGTGATACAACTAATTCTTGGCTTGATAAGTACCGTATGGTCGTAAGAGTATGCTATTTGGAATGCATTCTGTTTAACAATGCTATATGGACTAAAAGCTTGATAGTTCAATGGTGCAATGGGAAAAATTTAGCCGTCAACACAAGTTTCAAACCCCTCACTTTTTAAGTAATTTCGCGTCATGTTGCATATGTTTTGATATGTAACTCTGCCTTGATATCAAGTTTGAAATATTACATTTATCAAATGGCCTTGTGTAACTCATGAGTCTTGACATCAAGTTGGATTTAACTCCTGCATTTTTGTGAGCTAAGGTTGGAACCTGTCATGCCAATGTTAGTTTCATACCTGGGGTAAACACTATCAGTCTGGTTGTGGTAGTATGAAGAACAAGAATCAATGAACCAGGGTATTAGGTTATTAGGTTATTTCTGTAACCTGGCTTGAACTCGATTTCCCTTTTCTTTTTAGGATAATCTGTTTGTTTTTGTTATTGAGTTTTGACATATCCGTTCTATGAAAAAAATGTTCATAGGCCTGGAGACATTGTTATTTTACCATTTAAGCTATCACCTTGCAGTGTTGCCATGTCTTCTCGTCTTGCTGTGTTCCTCCCCTCTTTTTTTTTTTGTACAAATATTGGTCCACAGTTTTAGGTGTTAGTTTCCGTTGAGACAGTTAATAATGGGTATAATGTTCTTTGCTCTGTAAACCGAGTGTTGGATGTTAGCAGTGTTTTTAAGGCATTGCCAAAGCATCGCCTCGGCGATGAGGTGCCTGCAGGGAGCAAGGCGTTGACACCTAGCCAATAGTAGTGAGAGGTCCAAGGAGACTGGAGGCAAAACAGAAGAAAAAAACGATAGGGAATCAACCAGAAAGGCCATGCAGCTGTCTCCTATCTCATCCCCACCAAAATCCGGCGCTGCTTGAGACATCTGTGGTGGCAGCGGCAGCTGATCCAGAAGGGACCATGACAGAGATCGATCTGAGGGAGCAGCAGCAAGATGGAGGGAAGGAGTGGAGGGCAGGCTGCGCATGCAAGCGAGAGCAGCACAAGGGATGGAGATGCGGCCGCTCTGCACCTGTGTGAGGGAGGGAGATGCGGCGGTGCTGCACCTGCGTGAGAGAAGCAGAGAGCCAGGCCCAGGTGGCATGTGTGGGCATGGAAGTGTGTGTCGGTGTCCTCATTAGACTGTGACCTGAGAAGGGACATGTACGGGAGGGCACTCGTGGGCTGGGCCAACCACTTCTCTTTTCATTTGCCCTCTTCTGATTTTTCTTTCCTCCTCCCTGCTGCTATTTTCCTGTTGAGTAAAGTGAGATTCACCCCCCCCCTAAACTAGTCGCTGAATTTGAAAGACCCCCTCAAGCTTCAATACCACACAACATACGCACCTCGCCTTATGAACGAAAAGTTAAGGTGTGTATGTTGTCCGGTATTGAAGTTCGAGGGGGTCTTTCAAATTCAGTGAGTAGTTCAGGGGGTGAATCGGACTTTACTCTTTCCTATTTCTTAGAATGGTAAGGCGTCACCTCAGCTCGCCTTATGAATGCCTAGGTGTTGTAAGGGGGGTAGGTCTCCATGCCTTGCTTACCGCCTTAAAAACCATGGATGTAAGCACGCAGAGTTTCGCTGTTCTACCTTCTTTCTTACCTTCAGAAGTTTCGGTTTAAACCTGGAGAGTCTGCTACGTTTTTTCTTGTGTACTCTGTAATATTCATTGCTTCTTTTGGTGCTGTTCCTGCAGGAGGCACCAGCTGTCATCGAGTCCTACTATAACAAGCGGATAGTCGGTTGCCCTGGTGGTGAGGGAGGTAAGTCAGTGCTGTCCTCGCCCTTTTATTTTTCTAAAGTTAACAGCTGGTGTGGTGTGAAGCATTTGTGTAACAAATTGCTTGGTTTTTGCCTTTCCTTGCCTGCCTTTTTTTTTATTTTATTTTTTTTTTATTTTGCAGAGGATGAACATGATGTTGTATGGTTCTGGTTGAAAAAAGATGAGCCTCATGAATGTCCAGTCTGCTCGCAATACTTTGTGGTAATTTAAATCGCTAAATTGCTGTTTGCTTTACTATAAGTTATTGCTACACAAGAACACTGCTGTGCTGATGTCAGTGTTAATTAATATAATTATTTGGTTGGTTGATTTGTGCAGCTTAAGGTCATCGGTGATGGTGGAGATCCAGATGGTCATGATGATGAAGATGATGGACATCACTAAGGATGCCTTATGGTTCTGAAAATAAGAATTTGATGAGGCATATGAATCCATTATACTTCTTTTTTCTAGAACCAGACTGCTCCACGGCATCCTTGTTTATGAATAGACATTTGGCCATCAAGCAGGTGGTAGTTTTCACCTAGGGATTTTGTCCAAACAAAAGCTATTTGAGATTTGACCCATGCATTTCTTTAAGAGCATCATCGAATAAAAGATGACTGCATCAGATGCTTTCTTTTGTTACCATATGGCCATCGGGTGTGATGAACAATGTAATATTCAGTCATGGAACAGACCCATTTCTTTATTTAGTGTGCTGAGAAATTTGCAAAAGGCCTCCAATATCTTTGACAGGTTTCAAGCCAGAGTTTGATGATCATCATTTTATGACTATATTGTCTTAACAATTGTGCTGTTCTGCGACAATCTTCATGGTGCCATTTTCCTATTGAGTACAGCTTGTGGCATGTATGCTGTTTATTAGTGTTAATCATTCCTAGTCCGGCTACAGATCACTGGTTCTAGCTTCCCTTGATGATCCTGCTATGTTTGGTATGTCGTGCGCTGGCACATGTCACCTGTTGCAGCTCTTTGCGTTACAAATCCTCTGTACAAAATGAAATGACACAAGTTGGATTGGAATGAGTGACACAAGTTAGATTGATTATTGGTTGTTCTGGAACGTTTATATTCTTGAATGCGTTTGATCTGCGATTCATGAGATAGATGGACATCTTGTTAGCAGTGGGTTGGACATCGTTCGTCTCTTCAACCAAAAGCTTAAATAGTATATCACAAAACTAGGCCCTGTATTTCAGCCAAGGCAGCAGATGTCGTACATCGTAACACCCGCCCGTAACATGAATTTTTCAGAGCTAGCCAAATGACTTAACACTCAGCATAGATTGGACGAACAGAACGCGGCCCTGGTATACTAGAATAAGATACCAGGGGTCCAGGGCCTTTGAGACATTGACTATTGAGCGCAAGAGACACTGTTGTTGACAGCATTCATTCAGAAAAAAAGAAGAGGTTCTGCTCTGAATCACTTGTTCCGCGTCGACCACCTGTCGTGCCAGCACGAGTTGCATAGCAAAATTCCGGTTTGGACGCAAGGGAGGGCAATCTGCTTATCTTTGTTCCATTCTTCCCATGGCCTTTTCCAATCCTAGCAAAAAAGGTCTCCTTTATCATGTGTGATCTCAACGACAATGCAACATCGCAACAATGCTTTTGTTCCTAGCTGCAGTAGCCGATTTGAGTTGCTAATTGGCCTGTCTGCTCAACTGGTTACAGCCCCCCTCAGCCGTCGCAAAAAAAGGAGGGAAATTGAAAGAGAGAGCAATCTCTTCTCTGCATTTCATACTACCAATCCAATCACACTTAGGCAGCCCACTCTTTTAAGTTAACAACACCAACATCATCTCATGCACTGTCAGCTACATACTCTATGCTGCCTAGTGCCTACACTACACGCGTCAAAGTCGAATAATACTCCCCGGCAAATGACAGTTTTCGACTGCGCAAAATTATACCGCAATATTCCCTGTTCCACGGAAAATCTCAGAAAGGCCAGCCTCCAGCCAGAGCTTGTACGCCGGTGACGGTGAGGTGACTGGGGGATGCCAACCAAGTGCTGTTCTGGGACTGGGACGTGTGACAAGACAAGGACGCCGGATTTGGAAGCTGCCACTGCCAGCCTCAAGCCTCTCAAGAGGGGACGTACTTGCTGGCTGCTGCCCGTTAACTGAAAAATATGCTCTAGGTGAATGGGTGGGTGACGACGTGGAGGAGATTTCTTACTGTCGAGACAGCCTGTCCGAATCCAAATCCAAGGCAAATGTTCCACCCATGCTACGCTACGTCGCTGGTGGCAGATCATCACCATTCACCGGTGGCGAACGAAGGCGACACCACCAGCGCCAGCGCGACACGACATCCGATCCGTCTGTCCGTGGGCAGAAGTTTCGGTATGGTATGAAGGAGATCAGATTCTTTACTAGGTTTGGCGACTTCTCATGCCTCAAGTTTTTTGCAGGTCGTCCTTTATTTGCAGACAGAATTGATGTGCTGTCTAGCTGTTCGATTGATAGATGTTCTTTCTTCCTTCTGTTCTGCCTACTCCCTTTCTTTTTCAGCAGCTGCAGCTCTCTACACTGATCACTGAGCTTTCCTGTGATGTAAGGGGTATATGAAATCAATATCTTATTATGCTAGATAGGATACGGTATTCTCGATAAAAAGGAAAGCAAAGCAAAGGTCGCCTGCATTATTCTCCCCTATTCCATAAGCTTCCAGCTAGTGTTGTAGCGATTCACAATAGTGGCAAAGAGGAACCAAAAGAAGGGCGCCAAGGACAAGGACACCAAGAGGAAATTCCCGCCGCGGTGCTGAATCGGATGATGGTGATGGTGACAATGCCATCCCTCTCTCTCGTTTCATGCCGGCCGTGTTACTTTCAGGGCATTAGTTTGTGGAGATGAGGTTTACGTATGCTTCGGATGCCTCACATTTTATGTATTTTATTTATTTACACAGGAGGAATGCATTTTGTTGTCACTAATTCAGTAACTTGAGGCTCATGCTGCTTCTTATTTTTCACCTTGTTGAGAGGCTTTTAATGAAGAAGTGGTAAATGAGATAAAATTCCTTTTCCCTTTGATATCGATGGTATTGTTGTTAATGGAAATGTGCACCATGCAAAGTTCCTTTCATGTGAAAAAAAAGTGTGAAACGACGATGGTTTCATACACGTCGTCGTCATTTTATTCTGTTGAATTTTTTTTCTTCACCTTTTCTTTTGGCCAGTTCAGTGCATCCAGAATTCCAGCTGGAGTTACTGCAAGGAGAAGTGAAACCTACATACAGAATGGGTTCTCTGTGGCTGAATGCTGGTCACTAAAAAAGACTCGCAGAACACTGACAAAACTACATACAGAATGCATGGTTCCACCCAAGGATGGAATCAAATCCAATAATTCAAACTTTATAATAAATTAATAATATATATGCGTGTGCTCATGTGAATAGCTGGACTTTATGATATAATACTAGTTTTCAAGCTTTTGATGATGTGTTCTTTTTTCCACCACATGCAAGAACATAAGAAAAAGCTGTTAGCCCCTAGATCTCCGGCACGGGTGAGCCGACCACTCACTAACGTTGTCGACCATGCACTATCATTGGCGACCACACACTATGGCTAGAGGTAGAAGAAGGGAAGGAGAACAGAGCACACACATAGCAGAAGCACCAGCGTTGGCCGGAGCTGTGTAGATGAGATGACCAAACTGAACTCGCTCTCTTTACTGAGTTGTAGTGGGGAACTATATATACAACTCTACCCATCTAATCCTGGTACACAGGCATGTCAGGCTGCCATGCTGCTACAGTGACTAGATGTGACATCAGGGTTGACTTTGGCGTCTGGCTCTGCTGTGGCTACAGTGCGGCAGGAGAGCCGTTCGGCGCCTGTCCCTGCTGTGGCTACAGTACCACAGCAGGGATCCTTTTCGGCGCCGCCTTTTCCTGCCGTGCGTTCACACAAGGGAGCAACAAATTACTTAACAATTCTTTCCCTAATCCTGCTGCTAACCCTAGAACCCCCTCTATGCCGATCATCTTCTTTAGCTCCGTGAACCGAAGACGGCCGAGTGGCTTGGTGAGGACGTCCGCGAGTTGCCGACCAGTTTCGACGAACTCGATGACGATCTGTCCTCCATCGACACAGTCCCTGAGGAAGTGGAACTTGACGTCGATGTGCTTGCTCCGGTCGTGGAGAACTGGATTCTTCGCGAGGGCGATGGCGGGTTGGTTGTCCACCATCAGTGCTGGTGGGTGAGCTTCCACACCGGTCAGCTCGCCCAGCAGCCGACGTAGCCACACAGCTTGGCACGCCGCTGTGGTCGCCGCCACGTACTCTGCCTCGCACGTAGACAGCGTCACCACCTTCTGTTTCAGCGACAGCCATGAGATTGGAGCCGACCCGAGGAAGACGAGCACGCCAGAGGTGCTCCGCCGTCCGTCGATGTCCCCCGCCATGCCTACATCGCTGAACACAGTCAGCTGCAGCCTACTTCCGCCAATCTTGGGGAAGACGATCCCCTAATCCATCGTCCCCTTGACATAACGAAGTAGCCGCTTTACCGTAGCCCAGTGATCCTCTTGGAGATCCTCCATGAACCAATTGACGTAGCCCACGACGAACGCAATGTTCAGCCTCGTGTGGACTAGGTAGCGCAGACCACCGACGATGCTTTGTCAGCTTCAGTCGCTCCTCCAATGGAGTCACGCAGGGCTTGCACTCAGCCATGCCATTGAAAGGTCCTAATATGGCTAGAGGGGGGGGGTGAATAGCCTATTTAAAAAATCTACAAACCAACTAGAGCAATTTGGTTAGTATAACAAATAGCGAAATGCAAACTTGCTCTAGCTCTACAAGGGTTGCAAGCCACCTATCTAACAATTCTAGTTGCTATGATCACTAAACACACAATTTGCTATGTCACTACTCACTAAGAGCTCTCACACTTGTTACACTAAAGAGCTCCACTAGATGAACTTAAACTACAAAGCAAGCTCTCAATTCTAGCTACACTAAAGAGCTTGCTACAACTAGTTTGCAAGGATATAAATGAGTGAGTAGGGTGATTATACCGCCGTGTAGAGAAGTGAACCAATCACAAGATGAATACCAAATCAATCACCGGGAGAATACCAAAGGGCAAGAGACAATCAATTTTTCTCTCGAGGTTCACGTGCTTGCCGGCACGCTAGTCCCCGTTGTGTCGACCAACACTTGGTGGTTCGGCGGCTAAGAGGTGTTGCACGAACCTCGTCCACACAATTTGATACCGCAAGAACCTACCCACAAGTGAGGTAACTCAATGACATGAGCAATCCACTAGAGTTACCTTTCGGCGCTCCACCGGGGAAGGCACAAGACCCCTCACAATCACTACGATCAGAGCCGGAGACAATCACCAACCTCCATTCGACGA